TTGCTCCCTTATTCTCCCTTGCCATTAAAATAGAAAGCAATACAGCATATTTATGTAAATTAAGCTTTTCAGCCGTTCCGCCACTAGCATTAATTTATAGACAGAAATCCCTCATATGCAGATAATAGGAATGGGGCTGGAGAAGGAGCAGTGGGATAAATACAGGGTGGGAGCGGGACAAAAACTGAACTATGGCTGCCCTCGTAGCAGCAGGTTTGGGAACAAGTGCCAGGATTGCGGCTGAACGGCAGTTCTCCACTGACCATTATAGACCTTAGGTCTGGGCATCGGGATGAGGTTGGCAGATGGATTTAATCTCTCAATCCCAATCTCTCTCTCTCTCTCCTCTCTCTCTCAGGAGTTAGAAGCAGCTCTTCACAGAGATGACGTGGAGTTTATCAGTGACCTGATCGCCTGCTTGCTCCAGGGCTGCTATCAACGGAGAGATATCACGTGAGTAATCCTGGCATGCCTAAGTATTTCTTGCAACAGAAACTAATTACTTTAGTCTTAGGGATGTTTTAGGCTTCCTATAGCAGATCAGAACTGCTTATTAACTAATAAGTAACTATTACCAATTATTACTTATTTTTTAATTAATAATTGTGTCTTATTAACCAAAAAGTAACTATATAGGCTCAGCATACAAATGGGTCCCCAGGCCCTGAATTTGGCTCCTGCTGAAGTTCAGATTTTTTTTTCCTATATGAAATTATCACAAATCTGTACTATAATTTGTTCTTGAATACAGCAGCTAACATATTCAGAAATAGAACTTCCTCTTACAGTTTTTTGGGGGTTTTGTTTGCATTATTTATATAATGTTGCTTAAGAAATTAAATTCCTTTCTATTACATCCCTATATTTCTGTTACTAACACAACCAATGGTGTGATTTTTAACATAAAACCCCTAGATTTGGGGAGAGGGGACCAGGGAGGGAGGGGCAAAAATGAGGAGCTGGTGCCAGGGGTTTACATGGAGAGCAAATGTTTTGAGAATGATGAGAGCAATGAATGTACAAATGTGCTTTACACAATTGATGTATGTATGGATTGTGATAAGAGTTGTATGTGCCCCTAAGAAAATGATTTTTTTTAAAACCAACCCTAGATTTGCTTTCAATATATATATAAACTGCCAACTAAACAACTCTCCACACCTTTGAATGTAGAGACATTCAGAGCAAATTTTATCGATTTAAATAGACAAAGGGGCTCCCTGATAAGATGTCTTCCCTTGTTCTGATCCTAACTTGATGTTTTTTGGGGGAAACATTTCTATAATTAAGAGAACTAACTATAGGACAGGCTAGCAAAAAAAGTAACCCGAGATAAGTGAGTTTCCTGGTCTCTTTGCCTGTCACTGTGGAGTGGAAATTTAGATGTTATGATATATATTTCTCAGCCAGTCAAAGAAGGGGTCTTAGGTACTTTTGTTCCAATAACAAAAGGTGTCTGCCTAGGCTAACGAACTTGTACTTGGTTGAGAAAGATCTACTGAAAGCCACATCCTTAGGATGGACATTTTTATTCCTTAGGAATCACTACTTTGTGACCTCGAATACCAGAGTATTTGCCGAAGAGTAGAGAAAAGACATCATCATGCCAATCCAGCATGGCACTTGTTAAGATTTTAGCTTCTTTTCTCCCAATTTTCTCTTTTGGGATGTAGACTTGGGTATTTGTAGGTCTTGAGCAGGTGCAAGTAGGCTGTGTATGCAGTGGCGTGTTCTGCCTCTCCTCAGGATCATGGTTTTCTTAGCGCCACCTTTTTTGTCAGTACAGTTGCCAAATACTTCATCTGGTCGGTGCGCTTTTAATGATTGTAAGTACTCTATGATGTGTAGTCTTGAACGTGAAAGTTGTATGTACCTGGTGAGTTCACTTTTTACTGTAACTTTGCACATGACATTATTTTAGATGTTTGACAGGTTTCCGGGTGCCACCACTGGGCTTAATTCGGGCTGCCCTTGAGGGTGTTAGCTCTGGGTTGCCCCGCTAGGTGTCGGGCTCTGGTGCTCCTCAAAGCCGGGGACTCACCCAGCCCTCAGGGAGCATGTAGTCTTGCTCCGGGAGGGAAGGGGGCTGGCTAATAACAACAGCAGCAAGTATTTGATAATAAATGTGAAGACCACTGGAAAGCGCTCTGAGGTCACCCATCCTCGTGAGGAATGCAACACGAACAGCCGTAGCTAGACTTCACAAAACCGAAGTCTCACTGCCACCGAGTCAATTAAGATTCCTAGCTCGTCCAGTGCCCCATAATGATCAGGCCCAATAAATGAGTGTTAGTGAGGGAGTAGTGAGCGAACGAATGAGCCCACCAAAGAACTATAGGTAGGGAGCGTGGTTTCTCCCAGGCTCTGGAGCACAAACAACTGGGTTTGCTAGAGGGGGCCCTAAAAGTTACAAGGTAGATGGCCAAAATGCTCTTCTGAAAAAATGATTTGTTTGCGCTCCAGTCTTGGCTCCCATCTTAATATTTCCCAGCCTCTAAAATTGAGATTTCACTATCCCCATTTGGAGCTAATAGAATACATGTGGTGCCATGGGTGGTGCAAGTAGTGAGTGTACTCAGCTGCTAATCCAAAGGTTGGTGGTTCGAGTCCTCCCTCCCAGAGGCACCTTGGAAAAGCTACTTCTGGCCATCCAGGCCTTGATCCCCATCTAGGAATATGGTTCTACTCTGACCCCTAGGGGTCACTAAACATCAGAGTTAACTTGATGGCAAGTGGTATGATACAGAAAGTGCTGAATGGTCCAGCGCAACATTATAGTACTGTACTAAGCTGTCGTTTATCATATTAACTTGTGCTCTTTATCACGCCCCATATGGGCTCAGCGTCCCCTTCCATTTCCCATCCTGTTCCTGGCCTGCCTCGGTTATTTCCTATACTTCTGAAGGTGTATGAGTTTGTGAGGCATCCAGTGTGGTCGAAGCACAAAAAGAATTAGAGCCTGGTAGACTGCCAAAAGGATTTGGGGTCTAGTCCTGAGAGCAGGGGATATTTAAGTTTTTAAATAAGCACCATGGGTCAGGAGAGGCTAGGCAGAATATCAGTCAGGAGCCATTAGATGGATCACTTCTAGAAAATTAGTCACTGAAACCTTATAAATAGCAGCAGATCACTGTCTGATAATAGTGCCAGAAGATGAGCCCTGCACATTGAGAGGCACTAAAAATAGGACGAGATGGACTGACACAGTCCCCGTAACAAGGGGCTCAAAAATAACTATTATGAAGATTACAGAGCCGCAGGCAGTGTTTCATTCTGTTATACATGGTCACTATGAGTCTGAAGTGACTCAGTAAAAACTCACTATCATCGAATTGGTGCTGACTGATAGCCATCCTATATGACAGGGTAGAACTCCCCCAGGGAGCTTCAGAGACTTTAACTCTTTATAGGAGTAGAAAGCCCCGTCTTTCTCTGGTAAAGTAGGCTGTTGGCTTTGAATGGATGATTTTTCAGGTTGCTGTCCAAAAAATAACCACCATGTCATCAGGACTCAACTGCACCTGACAGTTAACACAAGTTTGCTATAGCCATATAACCACATCTCATCCTAGCTGTATTGAACAGATCTGTAATACTTATGCATGTGAATCTCTTTTTATCTATAGGGGGAACTTCAAAGAACTTGTGGGAAAGTTCCATTATTTTAAATTCCATTTTTGCGTACACTTTTTGAATCCACCTGACCCTGGGCTAATTTCTGTTGGTTGAGGATATCAAGGAAAAATGATGTCACTAAGTTTTTTAACAAATTGCCTGGCTACCTTTCTTCAAAGAAAGTGGTTCTATTTTATCCGTGCATAAGAATATCTTTCCTTAGTTCTCATCAGCACTGCACGCTGCCCTAATGGCACAAAGAGGTTGGCATGTTATGTGCAGTTTCATCTGATGTCATCTAGTCATGGGAAGTGAGGCTCATCAGCGGTGTTTTCTTGGTTGAAAACAAGCCAAATATTCTAACCACCTTCATTATACCAGCCAAGATCAAACCTGAGTCATAGCAACTTATTGGGTTTCTGAGACTAAAAATAACCAGCAGCCTCTCCTTTCTCTTGTGGAACAACTGGTGGCTTTGATCCTCAGATCTTGTGGTCCCAATACTTAACCCACAAAGCCAGTAGGATTCCTCAACCTCATTATGGGAGATGGGGTGATGTAAGGCTGTGAATACCAGTGAGTGGAGATCACCAGGAGTTACTTATCTTAGAGGCAACCAGTATTTATTAATCGATAGGACTTCGAGAACTAAAGTAAGTCTGGTAATATATGTGCATAATTTCTTCCTTCTAAACACACTTGCTTGATGTCTAACAATATCTCATACATTTTGTGTATTTTGATAAACTTTTGAACAAAAAATATCCATGATTTGAGTGCCATGTATAAAGAAATTATCAATAAGAAATTTTAATTTGCCCCTTTTAACTGGGTAAATGGCAGTAGCTGACTTGTGTTAGTTAGTAGGCGCCGATGAGTTGGCTACGATTCATAGTTGCTGTGTGTGCCACGGAAACTGCCTAGGGCTCTCCCATCCTCGCAGTCAAGGTTCTGTTGGAGCCCATCGTTGCAACCAGTGTGTCCGTCTCTCCGTGTTTGAGGGCCTTCCACTCTGAGGGGCTCACCTGGCTCTGCACCAGACAGTGTTCTGCTGTTACTCGGGGGCTAGTGTTTGAGAAGTGTTCCACCTCTTCCTTCTTTATAGACTGGAAGAGCTGCTGAACCCTGCTCACCATGGATGACCCTGCTGATTAGTTGACATTCTGTTGCCATGGCTTCTAGCATCACGGTAATATGCAAACCAGCCTATAACAAGTGGACAGATAAAGAGACAACTTATTCCTTGTTAATTTTATTTTTCCTATATCATTAGTTTCTGGTATAAATCAGAAAAAATATATGCTTACTGAAGATAATGGGTGTCCTACAGAATATTGGAAGCGTGGATGCAGCCTCTTTCCATCGTTCATTATCCTTCCACTTGGGTCTATGTCATTGTTTCGTTTTCCTGTGAGAGGGAGATGAGCTGGCAGACAGTGAGCTCAATAATTAATTAAATAAGGGGCCGTTTGATGGCGTCAGAAATTGAGATTCTGAGAGAAGTTTCTTATCAGATCACATACCCAATTAGAAGATGCACAATTCCCACATCATCCTGCCCCTAAGGTAAGATGAAGTACAAAGACTTGAACGAACAGAATTTAAAATCTTCCATCAATTTTAGAGTGTGAATTTTAGGCATGCAACTCAAAACTTTGTATGGCTCTTCTTTGGACTTGATTAAATACATCTTCACAGTATAAGAAATTAGCCATTTAAAATCATCAGAGTATAGATCAGAAATTCTCTTCTCATCCCTAAAGATAATGCACAGAGATTTTGGTATATAGCCGTGTGTGTGTGTGTGTGTGTGTGTGTGTGTGTGTGTGTGTGTGTGT